GTCTTATGTATATAGATTTCATCATGAGCCAAAAAAAGAAGAAAAATTTGCTCCATTTTGCCTACTTCCGTTAACAACTAACGGAAATTTAGCGGAGATCTAACGACCGGGTACTAACGTTGCTAACAGAAAGAAAGTTGGGTACTGATTTTGCAAATGTTAAAAAACGGGTACTGATACCGAAATGAACTTTAGTTTGGGTATCAAAACTGCACTTTACCCAAAAAAATTATAATGAATTATAAAATATTATTATAAAATAATAGATCAAATAAATATTTTTATAATATAAAAAATTAGAATGAACTTATTTTACTAGTATAAATTTTTTAGTATAAATTATTGACATATATGGATTAGAATGAATTATCTTATATTTTTTTTTAGTATAAATTATATAAATTATTAAGTTATAGGTTAGAATGAATTATCTAATAAAACATATTTTATTAGTATTATGTCAGATTAATTAAAAAATTACAAATTACTATTACTATGTTAGAAGTTATAATTGATTATTTTATAAAAATTATTAACATATATGGTAATATATTGCAGGGGTCACTCGAAGATTTTGGAGGAGACGGTGTTGATTACAGATGTTGCTTCGCTACAACTGACCTATTTGATAGTTGTGATGATGCTGATCAATGGGCAAAAGACGTTGCAATTAAATGGGGTTTCCAATTGACCATCTCGAGAAATTTAGATAAAGGAGGAAAAGAGTTGAGGTGTCATCGAGGGGAACGTTACAGAAGCACTGCAGGAAAAGTAGGAAATTTCGTTAAGGCTGTTATGAGACGTTCGAAAATAAAAGCGACCGGCTTTCCTTTTATGATAAACGTCAAACTTGATGCAACATCCAAAAAATTTTGTATCTCGGTTCCTTTAGATGCCGTGAAGGGAACGCATAATCATGCGTTGGCTGTGAATCCCGAGGGTCATCGACAGATGAGCGGACTCAACGATCCATCCAGAGAGATTGTCCGTGATATGAGTTCTGCTCAGGAAACACCGGCAGCAATTCTGGCTGCGATTCAGAAGAAACACTATGTGGACAACGCGACTATCCGACAAGTGTATAATTATAAAGCTAAATTGCGGAAAAAAAAAGTTTAGAGGGTAGAGATGTGGCTGGGCAGCTTCTGTATTTGGCTACGGTCAGCAACTACATAGTTTACACTGATGTTGATCCGAACACACAGGCGTTGACACATGTGTTCATGTCGCATCCACAAGCAGTCAGTCTATTCCGGACATATTACTGATATGTCGGTATAGATTCCCACGTACAAAACCAACAAGTATGTTACGTTACATTATAAATAGAGAGTTGATTGTGAATCTTAATTTAATTATTATATTTGATTGAGTAAGTTTTTTAATTGTATGTTTTATCTTCTTGTTACAGGTACCATATGCCGTTGGTGGAGATGGTTGGAATGACGCCATGCAACAGGAACTTCTTAATTGCCTATGCAATTATGAAGGACGAGAGCGCGTACAGCTATGACTGAGTCCTACAGCGGTTGAGACTTCTTCTAGAGCCAACTAAAAATCCTTCAGTCATTGTCACTGACAGGGAGTTGGGGTTGATTACTCCTATCCACACGAATTTCCCACAGTCGGCCCGACCCACTTACTGTGCACGTGGCACATCAACAAAGATGTGGAAGACAAGGTGAATAGACTAACATCAAAAAATAAGGTCTTCGCAGAGAAGTTCACACACGGTAGGTGGAAGAAGGTTGTCGAGGCAAGCACGTTGGATACATATGAAGCTGCCTTAGCTGATATGAATGCGACATACGCGACATTTCCTCTTGTGCTAGAATATGTGAAGAAGACATGGTTAGTCCATAAGGTGAAATTTGTCAGAGAGTGGACGAACTATTTGTCACATTTTGGCAATATGACGACGTGTAGGGTGGAGAGTGCCCACGCTAAGTTGAAGAGGTGGCTGCACACGTCGACCGGTTCGCTCGACACGGTGTGGGAGAAGATTGACAAGGAGATTGAGTCTAAAATGACTCAAGTCAGATATATTCCTTAATTTATACATATTTACTGTGTTA